CTTCGGAATGTTTATAACTGTTACGTCATTATCACTAACAAAATTGAGGAATTCATTTAGTGTACCTGTTAATTTGCTTATTAAAATAATTGCTAAACATGACCCCATCCCCACAAATTTAGGGACTTTTGCTGTTTTCAATGTTTCGGTCCACCCAAGAAGCACTGTATTCTTCCTCCTTGGCTCATGTGATGGTTTAAATATTAATCTCCTGTGTCTCGGGTGTAATGATGGGTGGGGTTTGTGTGGTGGAGTGGCTCGGGTGGTGTGTGTTGACTTGTTTGCTGTCTTCACAGCCCCTGTGTTGTTAGGATCCCCTTTGCACATGCATGTCTTGTCTCCCAAAGGGCAGCCCCTCTTCCTATAACCCCGCTGTGAGGACTCCACACGAAGTTCCTGAGAGATCAAGAGATGCAAATTATTTTCTTTTTCAGTTGAGGGACTCAGTAACACAAAAGGGATGGGCCTGCCCACCCATTCATTAGGGATCGGGGTTGTGATATCTGGCGTAGGAGGTAATGGCAGCCTGTATCCTGAACGGGGGACTCGGGCAGTTCCATGGAGGATGCTTAGGTCTCTGCTAACGATAGCAGAAGGAATATAACTGAGGATGAACGTCCACCCATTTTGACAGTTGATTTAGTTGGTGTTTTATTCTCTTCTGTGCTTGATTTGTGTGTTATACTTAAACGATCTTTTTGAGGGAAGGAAGTGATTATGTGTTCCTTGGTGCCCTGCCTGTGCCTGACATATAATTTTGTTAAAATTGAACTGTGGAAATAGTAGTAGTTATGCTGCCCAGAATGTGAGAAGAGGAATGGTGAGAACAGACCATTTTGCTAAGGTTTGGGGATTCTGCTGTCAGAGGCTGGGGAGATTGTGGGGCTTCCTGGTACAATCTGGGGTGGGCGCGAAGCACCTTGAGGCAGATACCTGGCAGGCCAGGGTGAGTGTCCAGAAAGGTGAGATATTTGTCTTGGGCTACTGGGAATAAAATCTGAAGATGTGAGATGGAAATGATATGCAAAAGAGCCCAGATGGGGCTACATCTGCCAGCCACTAGTATATCCCCACCTCCTCCCAGTCTAAGGAGAAGAGCTTAGGGCTTAGGCAGGGCTGGTGGAGACTTATAAGCCTGGGTAAAGGTCTCTGTCTTTTCATCTCTGCTTTAGGTACCTCAGCTGAATGGCCAAGAGCAGTATGTGCTGGTGCTGGCCTGGGTGACCTGCAAGATTGATTGTCAAATTCTCAGGAATTTTGTGAGCCACTTGTCAAACATAGCTTTTGCTAAAAATTAAATTGGCTAGGCACAACAGTTCACATCTTTAATCTTTTTTTTTTTTTTTTTGAGACAGAGTCTCGCTCTGTCGCCCAGGCTAGAGTGCAGTGGCGCGATCTCAGCTCACTGCAAGCTCCGCCTCCCGGGTTCATGCCATTCTCCTGCCTCAGCCTCCTGAGTAGCTGGGACTACAGGCGCCCGCCACCACACCTGGCTAATTTTTTTGTATTTTTAGTAGAGACAGAGTTTCACTGTGTTAGCCGGGATAGTCTTGATCTCCTGTCCTTGTGATCCACCCGCCTGGGCCTCCCAAAGTGCTGGGATTATAGGCATGAGCCACTGCACCTCGCCACATCTTTAATCTTAACACTTTAGGAGGCCGGGGCGGGAGGATTGCTTGACGCCAGGAGTTCAAGACCAGCCTGAGCAACAGTGAGACCCTCCCCCTACAAAAAAACAATGATAATAATAAATAAAAATAAAAGAAATTTTAAATAAGAATTATAGAAACTCACAATTGAGCAGATTATATTAAAAACAAAGGTTATAGACATTCCAAGTGTTTTACTTCCTAATTATTTTACTCCATTCTGCTACCTCTGCTCTCCTGGTTATTTAGATCTTACAGATCTGTGTGGTAGAAATTCTGTATACTGGTGAACTTCTGCACACCTCTTTCTAACCCCATGCTCGGCGACTGTGCATTGGTAGCTTGAAACAGGCTCTGGTGGGAGTATTTATGCCACATTCATGCATATGCTTGGCTTCTCTCCAGACAGCACTTCTTCTTGCTCTTGGTTCTCTCCTTCTGGCTGAGTGTGGACCACAGGCTCAGAATGACTCAGACCTCCTTGAGGAGAAGCAGAAGCTCTTTATCTCAATGCTTCTCTCTTTAAGCTCATATGTTTCCATGGGTTGAGGAAAAGGACATTGTGATGGCTTAAGAGCTTTCGTCATTCCATCTTTCAGTCTGTTGATTATATGTGGGATTAAAAATAAGCAATGTGTTGATACCATCAGCTGAACACACTAAATCAGCTTTCTTAGTTAATAACAGCAGTAGAAATTAAAGCAAGAATGAGCTGCCAGTGATTACAGCCAGACACATGGTTCACTGTACGTGTCAACAGGTCCAATTTCCACTGGAATTTTCCACCTGGAATGATAAAGTCTAATTTCAGTCCACTGGTGATCGTTGGCTCAGGAGACACCTTCTGCAGGAAACTCTTCCTGCCTGCTGCTTCCACAGAGTAGGGGAGGCAGCTCCTGCGTGTTTCCCCAAAACCCTGGGCACACCTTTGACACTACAGTACAGAGATTGGTCAGTTTGTATTAAATGCCTTCTCAAATCAGATGATCCATCTGTAAGATGCTGCTCAAGAACGCTGAAATTCACCAGCAAGCCTTTAGTAATTATGAGGTACGGTCTGCTATTAGAGAAATAAAACAAGTGAATCAAATAGGATTAACCCCTTCAAATGACTTAACTAGGTATTTCTCACAAGTAATAAAGAAGAAATTCCTTTCATTCTGTTGCGGATAACCAGAAACAAGGAACTGCGGGGTTTCTAACAATAATTAACAGCCTGTTATAGATGCTGCTTCTAAACAAGATGACAGTTTGCATTTCTCTTGTTGAGGATAATAGCAAAACTTTCCTATTAAAACCAAAAATTAATCCCTTATTTGAAATCTCACTTATAGCAGATTATCAAGCATTTATCTAGATGATTTAAAGTAACCACATATTTGTGTCCACTTTTCTCCAAGCTGTCATTTTGGAATAATAGCCTAACTCAGCAAGAAGATGAATTGAGTCACTCTTATAGCTCAATAAATCAAGCATGAGGGTATGAGTTTAGATTTCCTTGTAATATTAATCTCAATCTTCTTTGGTAAAATTATTTTCCTCTGTTTTTAAGAGTAATCATTCTATATGTAATATAACGCTAACTGCTACCTGTAGCAACCACAAAACCTTAATGAGTTAGCACAGCAAAGCACGTTTCTTGATCCTGTCACAGTCCAGGATGGGTCAGTGGATCTGGGCAGCAAAGTGTTCTCTTCCATGCAGTGACTCAGGAACCCAAACTCCTTGCATTTGGGGCTCTGCTGTTTTCTAGGTTTCAAAGTCTCCTCTGGCTCCTCTGCATCTGGCCATAGACAAGAAAAGAAAAGTGGACAGTTGTGCAGAGGTGTTATGGCCAAGCTTGTTGGGGGCATTCTTTTCACTTTCACCCACATTCTGTTGATCAATACTCAGTTATGCAGCCAGAGCCCAACTCTAAGGCAAGGCTGTGTGCCTGGGGAGAAAAGGGAATGGCATTGGTAAACACATTTGCTTGGTCAATTTTGCACCATGACAAAATTTTTAAGTTCTTTGTGGTCTTGGGCTATAGAGAGGATGCAGAGTGTAGTGGTTGAGACCGTGTCCTCAAATCAAACTGCTGGTATCCAAATTCCATCTTCACCATTTACTAGATGGTGAATTGGGCAAGTAATGTAGTCTCTCTCTGTGCCTCAGGGTCCTCCTCTGTAAAATGAGGAAAATAGTAGAACGTATAGAGTTTGTGAGAGAATCAACTGACTTTCCATGTACAAATGTTTAGAACAGTGACCAGAATATAATGAACAACATATAAATGTTTGTAAAACAAAATGTTTGGCTGGGTGTGGTGGCTCACGCCTGTAATCCCAGCACTTTGGGAGGCCAAGGTGGGTGGATCACCTGATGTCAAGACCAGGCTGGTCAACATGGCAAAAGCCCGTCTCTACTAAAAATACAAAAAATTAGGGGGGCATGGTGGTGGGTGCCTGTCATCCCAGCTACTTAGGAGACTGAGGCAGAAGAATTGCTTGAACTGGGGAGGCAGAGGTTGCAGTGAGCTGAGATCATGCCATTGCACTCCAGCCTGGGTGACAGAGTGAGACTCTGTTGCCAAAAAAACAAAAACTAAAAATTTTAAAAAATGAGATCTGTGCGTGTGCCTATAATCCCAGCTACTTGGGAGGTTGAGGCAGGAGAATCACTTGAACCTGGGAGGTGGAGGTTGCAGTGAGCTGAGATCGAGCCACTGCACTCCAGCCGGGGTGACAGAGCGAGACTCCCTCTCAAAAAAAAAAAAAATTAAAAAAATGAGATTAGTAACAAAGAGACTTAATTTCCCATGTGCTGTGTTGTAATTTGGGTATATTGCCATTCAGTTGGAGGATGTTTCAGTTCAATTGTAAAAATACTTTGTTGAGCAACATTATTTGCAATGTGCAGAGTATGACCATAGAATCTGAATAAGCAGACTTACCACTGAATCAAAGGAAACAGCATATTTTCCCCACCAAATTTGCCTTTTAAGTTCTGTGACTCAATCCATGGTCACATCAGCGTTGTGATCTCGATTTCCTCTCTTGAAATGCCAGGTTTCATCTGGGCCCCTGAGAGTAGAAAAAGGTGCTGGCCCAGGACCAAAAGGGCTCCTTCAGTGTCCTGGGGCCCAGGGGATGCTGTCAATGTCACTCTGTTAAGAGATGCCTCATCTATCCACTCGGTACCCAGATCGTTCCTGATCTATTTGCACTAACATACTAGCTTTTGAAGTTATGATCCACATTTCAGAATATTGCTTGATTTTACAAAACACATGAGGGCAATATGATGTGATTTCTCCATATGTAGTCCCCATCTGAGGAGCAGGTTGGGTATAACAGGCTCTTTCTCTTGCAGCTGGATGACTGTACTCTGCAGCTCTCTCACAATGGCGCCTACCTGGATTTGGAGGCCACCCTGGCAGAGCAGCGGGATGAGTTGGAAGGCTTCCAGGATGACGCTGGGTAAGAGCAACTGTTGACCCTGCTGACTGGTCCCCACCTACCAGGAAATGGGGGTACATTGAGGCCTTAAAATATTTAGGAGGAACTGCCATGGCTTTGACCTTCTCTTAATTCTCAATCACACACGAGGGAGATGCAAGTGACTCATCAGTGGTGACTGCAGACCCATTTCCATTTTGAGTAACTTTTCTCGATGGGTGCTCGGGAGTAGCCTTTCCTAGGAACATTTGTGGTAATCAAGCACATGGTATTTATATTCTAAGTTATTTTAAAATCATATATCACAATTAAATAGATATTTTCCAGCCAGCGGTGGTGGCTCACACCTGTAGTCCCAGCTACTCTGGAGGCTGAGGTGGGAGGATCACTTGAGCCTGGGAGGCCGAGGCTGCAGTGAGTCATAATTGTGCCACTGCACTCCAGCTTGGATAAAAGGGCAAGACCTTATCTCTAAAAATGAATAAATAAATAGATATTTTCCAGATTTTAGTGGATTCACAACTATTTTAGATATTCTACTCAATGATAATTTACTGGATATTTTCTTAGCAGATGCTCTAGAAGATAGTTTTATATGGTATCATCTTTTAAACTCATTACTCTGGAAAAAAAAATTAATTATGTTAATGTCAACTTACTTTTTGCCCATACCTAGAATTGCTTAATACTTTTGCTGAATAAAGAAATACTCTGAGTCCAAATAAAGCAATATGCTCATAAAAAAATCAGCGATGTGCACAGAAAGTGAAACCTCTCTAGGAATATACCCATATAAGTAGCCATTCTTATATTAGATTACTGAAATAGCCTCTGATAGGGCCCCACCTTTCTCCTTCTTATTTTTATTTATTTATTTATTTATTTATTGAGACAGGGTCTCACTCCAGCTGCCCAGGTTGGAGTGCAGTGGCATGATCTCAGCTCACTGCAGCCTCTCGAGTAGCTGGGACTGCAGACACGTGCCACTGTGCCCAGCTAATTATATATATATGTGTGTGTGTGTGTGTGTGTGTGTGTGTATGTTATTTTTGAGATGGAATCTCGTTGTGTCACCCAGGCTGGAGTGCAGTGGTGCGATCTTGGCTTACCGCAACCTCTGCCTCCCAGGTTCCAGTGATTCTCCTGCCTCAGCCTCCCGAGTAGCTGGGACTACAGGCACGCGCCACCATACCTGGCTAATTTTTGTATGTTTTAGTAGAGATGGGGTTTTGTCATGTTGCTCAGGCTGGTCTCGAACTCCTGAACTCAAGCAGTTCACCCTCAGCCTCCCTAAGTGCTGGGATTACAGGTGTGAGTCACCATGCCCAGCCTACTTCTTGTCCATCTCGAACCAAGTATATCTCTGATTTCATCACCCTCCTCTTCAGGAAGCTTAAGAGATTCCCTGATACTTTCCAAATAATGCTCAGCTATCTTAATCTGTTGTCCAGGAGCCCCCAAAAGTTGTTTGAAACCACTTTGCCTGAGTTAAAAATATGGTCCACTGGATACTATCTGGGAGTTCTCATTTTTCACAAATAGCTCAATTAATGGAGAAAAATTGGAACCTTCTTAGTTTCATGTAGCTATTTGACTTTAGTATGTACTGATGGCTTCCTGGGTTTCCCCTGTTTTAACACCTTCACAATTTATTTATTTATTTATTTATTTATTTATTTATTTATTTATTATTATTAAACTTCAAGTTGTAGGGTACATGTGCACAACGTGCAGGTTTGCTACATATGTATACTTGTGCCATGTTGGTGTGCTGCACCCATCAACTCGTCATTTACATAAGGTATAACTCCCAATGCAATCCCTCCCCCCTCCCCCCTCCCCATGATAGGCCCCGGTGTGTGATGTTCCCCTTCCCGAGTCCAAGTGATCTCATTGTTCAGTTCCCGCCTATGAGTGAGAACATGCGGTGTTTGGTTTTCTGTTCTTGTGATAGTTTGCTGAGAATGATGGTTTCCAGCTGCATCCATGTCCCTACAAAGGACACGAACTCATCCTTTTTTATGGCTGCATAGTATTCCATGGTGTATATGTGCCACATTTTCTTAATCCAATCTGTCACTGATGGACATTTGGGTTGATTCCAAGTCTTTGCTATTGTGAATAGTGCTGCAATAAACATACGTGTGCATGTGTCTTTATAGCAGCATAATTTATAATCCTTTGGGTATATACCTAGTAATGGGATGGCTGGGTCATATGGTACATCTAGTTCTAGATCCTTGAGGAATCGCCATACTGTTTTCCATAATGGTTGAACTAGTTTACAATCCCACCAACAGTGTAAAAGTGTTCCTATTTCTCCACATCCTCTCCAGCACCTGTTGTTTCCTGACTTTTGAATGATCGCCATTCTAACTGGTGTGAGATGGTATCCCATTGTGGTTTTGATTTGCATTTCTCTGATGGCCAGTGATGATGAGCATTTTTTCATGTGTCTGTTGGCTGTATGAATGTCTTCTTTTGAGAAATGTCTGTTCATATCCTTTGCCCACTTTTGGATGGGGTTGTTTGTTTTTTTCTTGTAAATTTGTTTGAGTTCTTTGTAGGTTCTGGATATTAGCCCTTTGTCAGATGAGTAGATTGCAAAAATTTTCTCCCATTCTGTAGGTTGCCTGTTCACTCTGGTGGTAGTTTCTTTTGCTGTGCAGAAGCTCTTTAGTTTAATGAGATCCCATTTGTCAATTTTGGCTTTTGCTGCCGTTGCTTTTGGTGTTTTAGACATGAAGTCTTTGCCCATGCCTATGTCCTGAATGGTACTACCTAGGTTTTCCTCTAGGATTTTTATGGTATTAGGTCTAACATTTAAGTCTCTAATCCATCTTGAATTAATTTTCGTATAAGGAGTAAGGAAAGGATCCAGTTTCAGCTTTCTACTTATGGCTAGCCAATTTTCCCAGCACCATTTATTAAATAGGGAATCCTTTCCCCATTTCTTGTTTCTCTCAGGTTTGTCAAAGATCAGATGGCTGTAGATGTGTGGTATTATTTCTGAGGGCTCTGTTCTATATCTCTATTCCATTGGTCTATATCTCTGTTTTGGTACCAGTACCATGCTGTTTTGGTTACTGTAGCCTTGTAGTATAGTTTGAAGTCAGGTAGCGTGATGCCTCCAGCTTTGTTCTTTTGACTTAGGATTGTCTTGGAGATGCGGGCTCTTTTTTGGTTCCATATGAACTTTAAAGCAGTTTTTTCCAATTCTGTGAAGAAGCTCATTGGTAGCTTGATGGGGATGGCATTGAATCTATAAATTACCTTGGGCAGTATGGCCATTTTCACGATATTGATTCTTCCTATCCATGAGCATGGTATGTTCTTCCATTTGTTTGTGTCCTCTTTGATTTCACTGAGCAGTGGTTTGTAGTTCTCCTTGAAGAGGTCCTTTACATCCCTTGTAAGTTGGATTCCTAGGTATTTTATTCTCTTTGAAGCAATTGTGAATGGAAGTTCATTCCTGATTTGGCTCTCTGTTTGACTGTCACTGGTGTATAAGAATGCTTGTGATTTTTGCACATTAATTTTGTATCCTGAGACTTTGCTGAAGTTGCTGATCAGCTTAAGGAGATTTTGGGCTGAGACAATGGGGTTTTCTAAATATACAATCATGTCGTCTGCAAACAGGGACAATTTGACTTCTTCTTTTCCTAACTGAATCCCCTTGATTTCTTTCTCTTGCCTGATTGCCCTAGCCAGAACTTCCAACACTATGTTGAATAGGAGTGGTGAGAGAGGGCATCCCTGTCTTGTGCCAGTTTTCAAAGGGAATTTTTCCAGTTTTTGCCCATTCAGTATGATATTGGCTGTGGGTTTGTCATAAATAGCTCTTATGATTTTGAGGTACGTTCCATCAATACCGAATTTATTGAGCGTTTTTAGCATGAAGGGCTGTTGAATTTTGTCAAAAGCCTTTTCTGCATCTATTGAGATAATGATGTGGTTCTTGTCTTTGGTTCTGTTTATATGCTGGATTATGTTTATTGATTTGCGAATGTTGAACCAGCCTTGCATCCCAGGGATGAAGCCCACTTGATCATGGTGGATAAGCTTTTTGATGTGCTGCTGAATCCGGTTTGCCAGTATTTTATTGAGGATTTTTGCATCGATGTTCATCAGGGATATTGGTCTAAAATTCTCTTTTTTTGTTGTGTCTCTGCCAGGCTTTGGTATCAGGATGATGTTGGCCTCATAAAATGAGTTAGGGAGGATTCCCTCTTTTTCTATTGATTGGAATAGTTTCAGAAGGAATGGTACCAGCTCCTCCTTGTACCTCTGGTGGAATTCAGCTGTGAATCCATCTGGTCCTGGACTTTTTTTGGTTGGTAGGCTATTAATTATTGCCTCAATTTCAGAGCCTACTATTGGTCTATTCAGGGATTCAACTTCTTCCTGGTTTAGTCTTGGAAGAGTGTAAGTGTCCAGGAAATTATCCATTTCTTCTAGATTTTCCAGTTTATTTGCGTAGAGGTGTTTATAGTATTCTCTGATGGTAGTTTGTATTTCTGTGGGGTCGGTGGTGATATCCCCTTTATCATTTTTAATTGCATCGATTTGATTCTTCTCTCTTTTCTTCTTTATTAGTCTTGCTAGTGGTCTGTCAATTTTGTTGATCTTTTCAAAAAACCAACTCCTGGATTCATTGATTTTTTGGAGGGTTTTTTGTGTCTCTATCTCCTTCAGTTCTGCTCTGATCTTAGTTATTTCTTGCCTTCTGCTAGCTTTCGAATGTGTTTGCTCTTGCTTCTCTAGTTCTTTTAATTTCGATGTTAGAGTGTCAATTTTAGATCTTTCCTGCTTTCTCTTGTGGGCATTTAGTGCTATAAATTTCCCTCTACACACTGCTTTAAATGTGTCCCAGAGATTCTGGTATGTTGTATCTTTGTTCTCATTGGTTTCAAAGAACATCTTTATTTCTGCCTTCATTTCGTTATGTACCCAGTAGTCATTCAGGAGCAGGTTGTTCAGTTTCCATGTAGTTGAGCAGTTTTGATTGAGTTTCTTAGTCC